GCAAGCAAGCAAGCAAGCAAGCAAGCAAGCAAGCAAGCAAGCAAGCAAGCTGCACAACATGAAAAAGCAGCAACACCCAAAGATCCGCTTGTAGTTTACATAGAAATAACACCCAAATAGAATCAAATAGATCCCAAAAGCATATGTATATATACTATATACTCATTGTTATATGTTGATAAACAGCAAACTCATACAATCTCAGTAAATCTCATGTAAATCTATCCAAGTTTCTGGCCAACAAATCAGTTTCTCGTTCAAGACCCGCACAAATCCTGGACTTCCACCTCGAATATTCATGTCTGCACCATGTTCGCTGCCAGTCCCGAAGTACATCATGTCTGCACGACAGATGACGGATGATGCTTTGGCGCCGATGGAGGAGGAGACCTCGGCTTCAGCTGAGGCAGAGAACTCCAGGTTCTGGCCCATCCTCTGGATTTGCCGTCGAGTAATGTACTTGGGACAGTTCCCAAAGGCCTCGGTGCGACGCAGGTCACATGTTCCGACACATTCAGTACCCCAACAACCCCAGGTCGAAAGGTCAACACATCATGATGAACCCTCAAAGACATGTCGTCCGATCATTCTGACACCCAAAAATAAACATAAATCAATGAAATGAACCTGCCTGGGTAATCTTGATCAAGAAGTGGCCATTCTTATCCACCTTCTCTATGACCTCAGTGTCTGCGATCAGGCAAAAAGAAACAAACCTTCACCACTTGAACTCGACAGAGAGAAGCCCTCGAATCATCCTATGGCATCCTATGACATCCCATGATGCCATGACCATAAAGAACATAACATGTAAAAAAGCAGTTAAAAAGCTTATACAACCATTACTCAGACACGACTTGACACTTTGTAGTATAGCATCAAACAAATCCAACGGAATCGTGTTCTTCCACCCTCCACTCGCCACTCCGAGTCCACTCGGAGTGGCAGAACCGAGCCGCCCCGTTGAAGCGATTCCTCCGTCTTGTCATGAAGTCGATGCTCACGGCGCCCACCCAAATCCCAGGTCTCACCAGGCCATCGACCTGGAAGGCAATGGATCCATGGGGTGCCCGGCCGTACAAGGAGCAGAGCTGTCATCTTCATAGCATAGCTGTCATGGCCAGCTTTCTTGAAATTGGGTTATACAGTTTGAAGTTATTTTAAAATGAATCAACATGATTCAACATGTTTAGCCTACACAGTAGCATGTATATAAGTAATGCTAGCAATGGGGACATGCAGGTGGGGATGCGCGGGTTTAACAACATTTAAATAACATCACCTTAATCCCTCAGAAACACAAACAAACAAAAACATGTCTTGCGCCGTTGTGGCCAATATGCGGACTTCTCGCCGAGCCACTGCGGCGCCATCGCGGGGATCCAGCGCAGCCTTCACCTTGATGTGCGTCCCCTCCGAGGTTTCGCAATCCGCGAAGCCCGGTGCGGCGAAGATCACTGAGGCCCACAAGGCCTTGGTCTCGGGGTCGAAGAAGCTGGCCATGAACTGAGGTTGTGGACCGACCATATCCTCAGTTGAGGCCAGGCAAGCAGTGAGGCGCCTTGATCTGTACGGACATAATGTGTTAGATATTGTTAGGTTGATACAGAGAATTTGGAAAAAAAAACGAACACGTGCTGGTGCTTCTGAAGATCCCGGTAGGAACTAGGAATGACCTTGTGATAGATATGAGGCCCCATTTCATCCGAGGTGTGAACGGTTCCCTGCTTGCGCTGGAGAATCCGCTCGCCATCGTGCCAAGGTTGCGCCAACGAACTTGGAAGACCCATGGCGTCCAGTGCCGCGTCTGGTTGCGAAACACAGACTGGATGAGGCGACGAAAAATCGGTCTTCAACGGAAGAAAGGCGGGCAACTTTTGGGCCTGGACAACTTCAGGTGTGGAGTACAAGGTCGTTCGGCAGCGGCACAGAAACGGTTTAGAAGCTTCTTCAGCTAGCTTGGTCTCCAGTCTGAGACTTCTAAACAACCTCCTCCAACATGGAGTCTGGATGGGGTCATGGATGCCCGGAGCGCGGCTTCGGCAACGGTGTCCGGTTCAGCATCCAGGCCCACCAGGCTGATGGTCATGTCGACACCCCCCTTCAAGGCCAACAAGGTCAGCATGGTTTGAGATAGGAGGCATTGGGAGACCGGTCTCCCTCTAATAAACCCTAGGGATCCAGTCGTACCTTCTCAGGTTCGGTGATTGGAGACACTGTTATGTAGGTTTGGAGGGTCCAAGTACCTTCTGAGAAGGTACTTGGACCCCTAGGGAAAGGTGATGACCTGATGATGGATGATGAGGTGATGACCGTCAGATCTGATGGACGATGGATGGGATTCTGTGTGAATTTGGACGATGGTTGAACCATGATGAGAACCATGAGAGCTTAGCATGTAAAACATAATTTTTACATAGTATAAAGAAAGGACATATTTACAATTTTCTGGGGGCAAATGGGCTTGATTAATAGGGAGGTTTGCCAAGGAATATGTTTATTAGGGTGAGGCCAATGTGGAAATTCAGGTTTTAATAGGTTTTAAACCAAAGTGTATTCTGGGCTTGATTAAAATGGGGAGGTTGGTTAATCCTTCATGTCAACATTAGGTGTAAAACCAACACTTCTGGAAAGTTTGACTCTCAATCTTCTGGAGCCTCCGTGTCTGGTTTGGAGACTCCGATATTGTAATTGCAATTCTTCCGCACTGCATGTGCTTGTGGCTCAGGAGTCAAACTGCACTCCCACTTGTTCACCTTGTTCATGCCCCACACAGTCACAGCTACCTTTTGTTGCGCTTGAAGACGTTTGACATTGTCTGCCATTGAGTTGTGTGGGAACACGGACTCCTGTGATGCTTGGTCGCGCGTACGGTTGCGGACCAGGTATGTGTGTATTGCAAGCCACTGGTGATACGACGAACCGGCTCTGCCAGGTTTGGCCCGTATGGCCCCACACCAAATACCAATGGGGCGCCCTTTGATTGAAATAAACCACGTGTGCTAAATCTTCAGAACTCCTAGGAATATTTTGGCCCACACCATGGTGGCCAAAGCTTCCAGCAACTCCGAGGTGTGCGAAGCAAAGCGCTCCTCCATTCCTGCCTCGACCGGAAGCACCGCGTCCTGGTGACCCAGAGCAGCTCGGAACGTGCCGAGTTCGGCACACAACCATCCAAAGGGCTCCAAATACATGTTTAGCTTGGGTCATCCTGGATCCTGCTATGACCAATACAACGCAACATACTATGAAGCAGCAACCGTGATCTGTGCAAGCAGTGTACATCAATATACACAGGCCAAGCAATCCGACAAGCTTTGCTCCTAGATCTCATGTGCATGTATATTTTCGGCGTTGTTTCCCTTTCCCAGCCACCTGACCCTGCTATCATATCCAATTTAGCACCCTTCCTGCTCGGATCCTTCAGCATGTCACAGACCGATCTGGTCTGACACGTCTCTGTTTTGCTGCTCGGGTCTGACACACCAGTCACGATCCTCAACCGGGCGGATGGGCTCTGATCCTCCCGACGGCGCAGGTCCTCACCTTCAAATCTCCTTCTTGCACAGCGTGGGGCTTCGAAGCCTGTTTGGGGCACCGTTCGGGTGGTTGTTCCCCAAGCCCCCAAGAGGTCTACACGGTGTATGTCTACATGTCTTCCTCTTCCAGAACAATGAGCCATGTGAGAGCGACCTGTTCATGACGGCAAACTTCTTGATGATTATCCGTCAAGACTTTACCCAGATTCTGATTATTGATAAATGTATGCTAACAATACGTTGCCTGCAGAGCCTTGGGACCCTCATAGGTACGGGCAGTAGGGTCAGGAGTCCCAAACCTATGACCTATTGGTTTCGAGGGTATTTGACGCCCTTTTTCCGCTTGACAGCCGTCACCACCTCACCTGTGCAGATGTGGCCACAGTTGGCTCAGCGCGAGCCTGGAAAAAAGAAGAAAGAATTTGGTCAGGGGGCTCTCATGGGCACCCGACTTCTATGTCCATCCTGTGATTTGATGTTTCGCTTCAAGTCATCTAACTGATGTATCCAACCGATGTCTAATGTCAGGATGTGACAAACGACCCTCAAACCCTACAAACACCGTCCAGCCCTACAAAGCGCATCCGTCCAAAACAGTCTCGACACTAGTCTCGACGGACGGCTGCTGAGCCAGCTGGCCGAGGAAAGGAAGGCCAAACAGAAAGGAAGCACAGCAAAAGGACCTAGGACCCAAACATGACCTCTATTTTGAAGATGGGAAAAGACTACCCTGTTTGGGGTGGTTGGTGGTCTTAAATAGAGGTCACTCCGGGTCTAGGGATGATACACTCCGACCCAGTAACATGGTGGAACACACCCTGTCTGCCAAAAAATGAGTCGTCGTTTCATGGGCTCTCTCGCCCGACTCGCGAGTGGGGCTCGGGTAGCCTACGAAAGGCTGGCTCTTTGGGGGTCAGTCACTTTCCCATGCAGCTAGGTCCGAAGTCCGTGGCACCGACCGTACGGACCGAGTGATCCGGAGAGAAACCGAGTCTCGGTGAGAAGAAGTTTGCAAGAGTTCTTCCATCAACAGGAGTGCTTTTGAATGGGTAAAAGGGAAGGGATAAAGACATGATAATGTGATGATTGGTGCAAAGCAGTTCCCTTCAAAGTTCCCATCACGGTCGGCCAATGCGCATGGGCGGCGTTTGGGCACAAAATACATTGCTGAGAAAGACAATGGAGCACTCAGTAGAAGCAAAGCTGCCAAGGGAAATTGAATGGACATCAAGACTGCATTGTTAGGTAGGAAATCAGCAGTGCACAGCATCTCGCAAGCACCTTCTTTTGGAGCAACACTTGCTCGGCCCTCTCAATCTAAGCCAGGTGGGGCTTGCATAAAGCTATAGCTATATCTCTCACTATATTTAGCAAGTGAGACACAGATCATGGCCAAGGCTACAACAAATACATCAGGGGCAAAACTGTACAGTGAAATAGATCCTACTCTAAAGCTGCCCACATGCCATGGCGCATTGTTTCTGTATTATCCCAGGTCGTACAAGAACATCGAAAGCGTCGAGTCCAAAGCGCAGGGTTTCTCCAGGCACTGTGGCAAAGCCAAGCCGCGTTAGATGGGATGAACATGCTGAGGGATCCAACTGTGATTTCAAGAGTAGATGAGACAAACCTGAGAGTTGCTTGGCATGTCTGATTAACCTAAACCATTGCTCAATGATTTTGGTCATCTACTCTGAAATCAGCCGAGTGAAAATGTAGCTTCTGGCGAACACAAGGATGCAGGTTGATGCAGGTTGAAGGGCTCCAAAAACTGCCAAAGTGCAAACCATTGGCAATGGCCCCGCTGTTCCACATGCTCGAGCCACTCCCTTCTTCATTGTCGACTGTCCTCTTTAGACAGTCTTTTGCGCTGGGGTCAAGTAGTCCAAAATATGTTTAGTTCTTGAGACACATGAGTGTGTGCATGGATGTGTGATTTTACCAATCATCAAAGTATGTATTGGCAAGTAATGGCAAGTACGTACAGTTTTGTCAACTTGCATTTGCTGTCCTGGAATCGGGAACACGGCACTTTTCAGCTTAGGAGATTCACTCAGTTTTGGGAAACAAAAAATCACCCGATCCAGAAAAACCAGGTCAATCATTTTCTCCTCCTGTCACATCCAAGGTCTTGTAGTCCTCTGAGCCTCAGATCCAAGGCCTTGCAGTCATCCTGTCTTTATCGTTGTACATTCCTTCACTTACTCTCCTCCCTTGCATTCAGACGTCGCATTTGGGATCGAACCTTCAAAACCTCCCTTGCGTTCCTCCCAATCGCATTTGCTCATCCATCTCCTTTTCAAACCTCAACGACCCTTCAAACAGAATCAAAGTCACGTCTCGATTCTGCTATTTTTTATGTCAGAGCGTATGTGAGCGTCAGTCTCTTGTACACAACATTCGCATGCGCACGCATACAATTCAATATGACATGTGGACGCTGCAGAATGCTGCAGATGCATTTGGTTCAATCGACCCAAAATGTCTAAAGTTTGCTCAAATCCGATGCCCTCAATCACAGATTCCCAATGCAAAACTCTATCGCGTTGTCTCCCAGTCGACTTTGAACACACTGAACGCTACCCGGATTGTTGTCTTCTTTTTTGCATTTAATTCCCGCACGCACGCCGCGTTCCCCCACGGCACTGCCAGCTTGCCGAACGTCTTGAGGTTCTTCAGAAGTGCAAAGTAAGGTACCCAGCTGTTTCATGGGTAAGACAAGCTATTAAATACTGTGCATACTGCCTTTCAGGTCTAAGTCTGATTCGGGTCTTCAATCGAGGTCTTCCCAAATGTTCACCAAGCACCACTGGAAACCACACCCCAGAAGGGGTCAAGCCACCCTCACGTTCCGCAAGCGGCCAGCTGTGTTGAAAATGATCGTTGCAGTGACCTGCTTGAAAGACCTGACCCTGCCTCTCCCATGAAACAGGAGACGAAAGATATTGGACTTGATGTAGTTCTCTATTTAAAAAGCCTTCAATGTTCCTTTATGCTCTTTTCATGCGTTCCTCGATTCCTCAGTTCATCCTAGAGTTTCTCCAGCATTCTGCCGGCTCATTGCATTCTCTGCGGGCCTCTGCTGGCGTCGTTGCAGCTGCACTTTCCTCTGCTGGCGTCGTCGTGTTCTTCGCACACGCAACAGAAAAGGCATTCTGGCATATTCTGGCTGAAATTGAGTATTTCGTAGGTCGGTGGGTCGCAATTTACTATTTCAAACCTTCACCCATTCTGGATTCCAAAGGGAGTACCTTGCTTCCACCGTCGTTAAGTGGATCTGGCAGCCTTTATGGGGCTCCCGGACGTCCGCAGCCGAAAAAGACGCATGGACGATGGTGGTAGTACAAACACATACAAACACTACCTAGGCCTCCAGTCGTACCGAAGCTGAGAAGGTGGGACTGGGGTGGGTGCCGGGCTCCAGTCATACCGAAGCTGAGGAGGTACGACGTATGAATGAAACACCCAGTACATCCCATTACGTGAAGGTTTGCTGAGCTTGCTACAGTTTGGTGAACCAGGATCCGGCGTCGTCGCGTCGTTTGTCTTTGTTCCTCTTGTCTCCGCATTTGCTTCAGACTGCTACCACCATCTATGCAACCCTTAGGTGATGATTGATCCTTATGACTCATCTCATGAACGCTCTAAGAAGCTCTAACATCCTGCATGTCAGCGTGTCTGCGCGAACTGTCAAAGGGGCAAACAAAATCTGCTCACATACCAAGCCAAGATCTCAATCTCGTCATTTTTGGGCCCCCTGAAAAAAATAACGAAGGCCCCACACCAGTGATTTTGGTCGTTGCAACCACTGCTTGCCATACTGCAACCACTGCGGCCGCTCCACCTTCTTTCGCTTCTTCGACTTTTTATCACCTCCATTCTGCTGGAGGACGAGGGGGGCGACGGTGCATTCATGTGTTTCCCAAGCTCAGTGGACCAGTGGAAGCAACACTGCAAACTGGAAACGCTTTCTCCGGTGTACACTTAGAGATGGGAAACACCGACGTGTTTCAAGGGGCATGCAGCTGTTGATGGGTGTTGATTCGCGAAGAATGCAGCACGTGAACGAATATCCGAAAAGCGCTGTCACTGCTCTGGCATAGATCCTCACCCTGAGCGACCGCGAGCGACCGCGAGCGACCGCGAGCGACCGCGAGCGACCCGTGCCTTTGGCTTCATCCTGGCGCGGTGTTGGATGGTGTTGGGGAGGGGTGAGGATTCATCAGCTAGTTCTAACTGGTAGTGTTACGCGTCTCACATGTCGGATTGTTTTGGACGTGGGTTCAATAGATTACCTATACAATCCTATACAGACCCTTCCAAGTTCAGCCGTACCCAGGTGTCTTCTACAGAGGGTTGGCAGTGGTCCCTGCGATGTGGATAGGTGGATGGTCACTAGCCAACTTGCCGTCTTGTCGTTTTGCTACTTTTGTTCGAGTCGCCGAGTCGAGGACGAGGACGTCAGCTGTCACAGCCGGAAGTCAATGAATGTCGACTATTGCTGTAGATTATATATGATGATTTCAAGCCCCAATATGAAGACGTGTCTTTTTCCAATCCAATTGGCGGATATATCAATCAACTGTCTATGCTTAAAGAACTTGAGCAACATAGAGTTGCCGCCAAGGTTTCTTCCACTGAAACTGCCAGTCTTCTCTCGACCAGGCCGCCATGCCTTCTCTTTCCGCTTCTTCTTCGAAGATTCAGCTCCTGCTGTTTCAGAAGGACCCTCCAGATTCAGCAGGAGCTTGTTCCAAGGCTCATTTTCCACCCGTTGGACCCACCAAACCCGCTTGAAACCACTCCCCCATCCAACCACTTCGGAGAGGGTCCCTGGATTTCGTCGCAAACAAAGTTGGACTACGCAACCACTGGGTGTCACTGGATTTGTGGGCACACATTGCCACACGACAAAATAATGCAACTGTTTTCTTTCACTATATAGTCTTGGCTTAGAAAACTCAATTTATCTCAAACCGGAGGAGTCCTGCCAAGTGCACCTGATTCACCCGTCTTGACCCACCAGGCTCGGGAGCCTGCTGCGCCATTGGCCGCGGCGGGGCGTGGGACTGCAGCCGCTTTTTCTCCGTTGTCGGCCTGGGGTTGTAAAAACTCCCTGGAAGAATGGATTAGTAGAAGATATAGGATTAACGAAATGGATGCCAAAGTTATCACAGTTCACTGCATTTCAAGATTGTCCATGCATCGTAAAATAATGAACTGATCGATCTCTTTCGTGCGATGGAACACCGGAACAGCGGATGGGAAAACACCGTTGGTCTAACAGTCTAACAAGTTGGAGTCCAAAAGTGGGTCTGACCACGGGAATTCAGACACTCCACGATATCATCCATCAACCCAAGACAATCTTGCTAAAGCAGCAAGCCAAGCCAAGATGTTATGAAAACACTATGGTAGAAACCATCTACAGTACCAAATTATTCTAAATACACACCTTAGGTCAACTTGCTTCTGAAACAGGCCCTTAATTGTGGATCTCAATGGTACACTGTTGAGATCTGTTGAGTGCACCATAGTGCACCCCAGCGGCACAAAGAACCCATGGCTTCATCTCCCAGAATATGTAGTTAACCTTATAGATAGTTACATGATATTAAATGAACTATAGACTATAGAGTCTAGACGCCTGGTCCGGCACTGGCAAGCATCTACGTTTATGAAGTGTGTTCTTGAGACTTCCATGACTGCATCAACTACAGCAAGTCTGTGGCCATCCCCACCTTCGCAGTCCCCGTCGGCGCAGCCACAGTCGGCGCTTCTGCCAAGGCGGATGTCTGCTCAGAAGGAGCAGTGGCTGGAACCACTGGAACTGCTGCAGCTGGGACTCCATTCACCGGCCTTGGACGAGAAGAAGCGTGCAATGTCCAGATAATGACGGGATTGGCCATATCGGTAATATGGATATCTGGTGTCTCGTGCAAAGCGGATCAAGGGATGAGGGAGTTTTTGAAAGCTATTCAAGAGACGTGGTTAGAAGGTTGTCTAGGAGATAAGGTGCTCTCTGACCTGAAATCTGAGCCTGAAAGCTGTCAGGATGGGTAGGGAACTGGTCTTGAGTGGCAGAACTACCTGCGTCTCTGCTCGAAGAACTGAGACTCGGACATGTTCGGATGGGTCTTCTTCCACCATTCCACCTGGTCAAGCTGACAACTCTGGTCTGCTGGATGCTACATGTATTGTCTGCAACGGGTGCTTGTTCTGAAGAATCTGGAAATCACCACGAGAGGTTTGAATGTCTTTTACATCAACTAAATTGTTCATTTAGATTGAGCTCCGTATTATGCTGTTAACAACTGTGCAAACGCAATAGTAATAGCTGTGGCTCAAAAGCTAGGGTACCATCCAAACCCACTGGCAAAAAGAAACAACACCAAACTATACCAAACTTATCGGTTTCTGGATCTCCTGCATAGAGTCATTTGGGTTCGTCAAACGGAGTCGAGAACAACTGCAAAGACTCTGATTTCGCAGGAATCGTTGATGGTTTCATGGCGTAAACATGTGCCAAACGCACAGCCATGGCAGTGGGTGTGTACTGACACTTAGGCCGCTCATACTCTGTTTGCGACTGTCTTACCGACCCCTGAAAACCAGAACCTCTGCACAACTGTCCTAATCAGAACCCCATGCGGAAAACAAAACAATAGTAATAAAGTCTTCTGGATGTGGATGTCAACCGGCCATTGATCCAAGGAGAGTCAGTCCAATCACAGTGACAATGGATGTTTGATGACTTTGTCCAACATGATTGTTCCCACAACATGTCATGTGTTTCCAAAGAGTTGGGCGGTGATCAGCCGGTCAAACCTGAAATCAGCAAGCTTTCTCGAAACCCCGTGCCACAGCTTTCCGGAACCAATCCGACTGTTTGATAGAATATTAATTACTTGCTTGTATATACTTGTATGTGTACTATGTACCAGCTGGCATTCCGATTTAGGGAACGTAATTGGATCTACAAATTCCACCTGCTACCTGTATTGCAATATTCTTCTCCCAGTACCACATAATGCTAAACAACAATGCCGTGGCATGTTGTAGGCTGGCGTCTCACAACCTGGCGGCTACCATGGTAGCTAGGTGCCAAGCATACTCTTGGAACGTCATCTTGGTGAAGTCAGGTGTGTCCTGGAGTGAGGCAGCAGTCCATGCCAGCCAATCTCTTGTCCAAAGACGTAGACGTATGCTGCGGGGTGCTGCCGAGGTCCAACGAGATGGTCTGTACCAAGTGTCATTGTTCCATCTCCGTAGGCTACACACCGAAGAGTCATGTGTGCCACACCCGGGGTCTTCAATGAACGTCACGGACACCGAAAAGAGTCGGTTTGGGCGGCGTTCATTGTTCGAGGTCGGTCCCCTCTTACGGTATCATGTGTGGCACAAAACACATGACAAACAAACCAGTGAAAATCCATCAATTTCATTGTTGCCTTGACCAATCCTGGGTGATCTACCCATAGTTCACCACTTTGAGGCACCCTGAGAGAAAGAGGAGCGCACCACTGTTTTGGGGGGGGCATGTGTTCTTTGGACATCCCTTTTGACCAACCTCTGCAGTTCTGCTTTTTCCGGCCACGGCGCCACCATGGCTCCTGCCGACTCCGCCTTCGAGTCCGCTCCCTGATGAGAGCACCGATGGATGGGATGGGTGGAGATCTACATGGAGGACATAGCCTGTGGCCCTGCTCCTGTTGAACTCTGGACTATCTGCTATCCTCATATGCGCTGCATATATACAGTGTATATATATAATAGATATCATCCAAACTCGTCTATGTCTATACTTCTATACATTTGTTCATTTTTTCAACATGTACTTCACAAGCATCTTTTCGTCTTCCAGCCTCACCGCGGGAACTGCCGCCGCAGGCACCGGCACTGGCACCGGGCTTGGGCCCGAGCCTGACACGCCACGCTGGATGTTCCCTGCCGCTCACTACAGCAACCAATGTCAACCTGAAGCAAAAGAGAAGCACAAATCCAGAAAGTACTCGCCACCTCAGTTTTGTTGGAACCTTCTGGGGATATGGTATACCTCACTGGGGACGGGGCACGGTGTTTTCTACGGTCTCCGTTTACATCTGTCACAGTATGTCACAGTCGACTCTTCGGCTCCCGGCGACTGCGGCTCTGCCTGTTGTCGTCGACCGGTGGGACGGGGAACTCGACCGGTCGCTGGGAGGTGCTGGAGACTGGAGATGCTAATTGACCTGCTGAGGAAGTAAATGTTGATCCAAAAGAGACCTGAAGAACCAGTAGAAGATGGAAAACAAGTCACAGAACCCCTTGTAGGATGCATCAGGAAGCGGTTTAATGCGCACCGAATCATCGGAAAACTACTGCAAATCAGTGCAAGTCTCCTTCTATCATGATCAACAGAAAAGGTTCTGACAGTGAAACTGGGCCAAACCAATCAGACCGAGATCACAATGCCATTAGCACAGATCCCAGCTGGATAACCAGTGATGTGTTTTATATCAGTTTCCAGATTCGTTTCACGATGGCTCGAACCACAGATTCTAGGAGAAGGTGTTTTTGTATTGGAAGAACCAAAAGAAAACCTGTCGTACATGTCTACCATATAATACACCATGACGATTGATCGTTAAACATAGTTGCACATTTAACGCATGTTAAACTATAAACCCTCCAAACCTCACTGATCAAGTCTCCCCACCCCCGTGTCCGCTGGGTCTCCGATCCTCTCTCCACTGGTGGAGCCCTCAGGTGAAGCCAAGTGACCAAGGGTGTCAATCCGGCTTTAGCGGATCGGTAATTGAAATACACATGCCGCATGCCATGTATTGCCATTTGTTTGATTTTCCTGATTTTGACCTGATCCGCTGATAAAACCACTGATTCCAAGCGAGCAAGGGTGCATCAAAACAGTTTCTGCCAAATCACCGCAATCCTAGTGATGCCAATGATTCATCAGCCATGTCAATGTGGCTCCCCAGTTCTCAGTGTCAATGATTCTGACGCATACCTTGAAATCGACTCCCTCGACTGTTGAGCCAAGCGACCACCCAAGCACCTGGGAAATGTCGTCAAATGTTCACAGTGAAGTGCATGGAATTGACAGGATGTCACTGCTGGCAGAAAATTATGTTTTAAAGGCAATGTCTCGGTGATGCACGTCCTCGCGAGGAAACTCCACAAGCATCCACAAGCATCTTCTAGCAGGAAGCTGCCCCCCAAACCTCTCTCCACCCTCCAGGCCTGGGGGCGCTGTTGGTCCAGAAGGCTCGAAGGGCGAACCTTTGCAGCGGAAGGCGGTCCGGAGGTTGAGGAGCTGGGCCCATGGGGAAGGAGATTCACCCCCATAGTGCCATAGGTGAGGGCTGGTATGTCCGTGACATGAGGCTCAAGGAAGCTAAGAAGTATAGATAGAATGTAGAATCTGGACGTAATATCAATTCAGTCCTTCTGGGCAACGTCTTGCAATCGTTTGTCTGCGTTCGTCTAAATCGTATAGATTGTCAAAATGATCCAATGCCAATGACCTGCGATGCTGCTGCTACTGCTACTAATGCTATTACTGATGATGTACTGTATCCGGCATTGAGGTGTCACTCTCGGTGGTTCACTTCTGGCAGTTGCTCCAGGAATTGTGCCACTGCCAAATGAACAAGGTACAACTTACATGCAACTTGTCAGGATCATTTCTATCTGAGCAAATTATTGCTTGGTTCAATGAGCGCAGAATTTGACCTGATGTGCCCAGAAACAGCTGGGTAAAACTCGCAAGATTGTCCATAAATTGATCGCGATCTTCGCATAGATTGCTTCGACACTGTCAAGGACTCTACAAGATCTACCCCCTCAAAACTCTTATAGGCTCCATTGTGAAGGTACTTTAGGGCAAACACCCATGTAGTAACCCACCACTTGAACCTTTGAATCCTTCAAGCCTTGAGAAGGGTATATTGGCTGAAGCTTGTCTTCCAAGCGTGTCGTCCAAGGGTCAATAAACCCTACAAGGTTCTATGGCATTCTATGGTTTCGGTTTTTGTTTAGGCTCCGGCTGGATCCGGGAGCCATCGAAGGCCTCATCCGAACAGCGAAGTCCATAGCTGCTCAAACAAGTTGCGGAAACAAAGGATGCCGATGAATCGTTAGCCCAAGAAATGATAGGCAAATTACAAAATGGTCATGCATGGTCTCCAAACACATCCAAACTATAATGTTCCACGATCCCGGGGATAAATTTGAAGATGAAGTGCTGGGCAAATGAATGACCATGCATTCATAGGGTCAGGATTGCTCAGGGACAAATGTAAACCCCTCCAATTGGGTATTACACATCAGAGTCCAAATCAGCAGTCATATATAGTAATCATAGAGTGGGTAGTACTCCAATCACGATAGACATGGGTTGACACCTGTGTCATGTAGAAGATGGAAAACAACTCAATGAACCCCTTCTAGGATGTATCAGGGAGCAGTCGAATGCACTCCGAATCTCCTTCGTAGATGATCATCAGAAAAGGTTCTGACAGTGAAACTGGGCCAAACCAATCAGACCGAGATCACAATGCCATTGCACAGATCCCATCTGGATAACCATTGATATGTTTTATATCAGTTTTCAGAGTCGTTTCACGATGGCTCGAACCACAGATTCTAGGAGAAGGTGTTTTTGTCTTGGAAGAACTATATAAAAGAAAACATGTCGTACATGTCTACCATATAATACACCATGACGATTGATCGTTAAACATAGTTGCACATTTAACGCATGTTAAACTATCTCACTGATCAAGTCTCCCCACCCCCGTGTCCACTGAGTCTCCGATCCTCTCTCCACTGGTGGAGCCCTCAGGTGAAGCCAAGTGACCAAGGGTGTCGATCGGCTTTAGCGGATCGGTAATAGAAATACACATGCCGCATGCATCCGCATGCCATGTATTGCCATTTGTTTTTTGTTTTCCTGATTTTGACCTGATCCGCTGATAAAACCACTGATTCCAAGTGAGCAAGGGTGCATCAAAACAGTTTCTGCCAAATCACCGCAAATCTAGTGATGCCAATGATTCATCAGCCATGTCAATGTGGCCCCCCAGTTCTCAGTGTCAATGATTCTGACGCATGCCGTGAAATCGACTCCCTCGACTGTTGAGCCAAGCGACCACCCAAGCACCTGGGAAAGGTCGTCAAATGTTCACATGAAGCTCATGGAATTGACAGGATGTCACTGCTGGCAGAAAATTATGTTTAAAAGGCACATGTCTCGGTGATGCACGTCCTGGCGAGGAGAACATGCAGGTTATCTTCGGACCAAACTCCACAAGCAGGTTATCTAGCAGGAAAGCCATTAGGAAGCCGCCCCCTCCAGGCCTGGGGGCGCCGTTGGTGCCGCGGTCGAAGGTGCAAACCAGGCAGCAGAAGGTTCGAAGGGCGAACCTCAGCGTTGCAGCTGTCCAGAGGAAGGAAGATTAAATAAAAACATAAATTGATCGGTACAACTTACATGCAACTTGTCAGGATCATTTCTATCTGAACAAATTATTTGACATGATGTGCCCAGAAACAGCTGGGTAAAACTCGCAAGATTGTCCATAAATTGATCGCGATGTTCGCGTAGATTGCTTCACCACTATCATGGACTCTACAAGATCTACCCCCTCAAAACTCTTATAGGCTCAATTGTGAAGTCAGCTACTTTAGGGCAAACACCCATGTAGCAACGCACCACTTGAACCTTTGAACCCTTCAAGCATTGAGAAGGGTATACTGGCTGAAGCTTGTCTTCCAAGGGTCAATGTTCAGTCTATGTAAGTTTGGCAGGCTGCAGCTCAACCAGAGAAAGGCAATTATCAGTTGTCAGTCAACAGTCAAACCCTACAACGTTCTATGGCATTCTTTGGTTTCGGTTCCATTCAGGCTCTGTTCAGGCTCCTGCTGGATCCGTAGGGAGCCATCCAAGGCCTCATCCGAACAGCGAAGTCCATAGCTTTTCAAACAAGCTCATTTTTATTTCAGTTACTTCAAACAAGCTGTGGAAACAAAAAATGGCGATGAATCCTTAGCCCAAGAAATGATAGGGAATTTGTTCCACGGTCATTTGAAGATGAAGTACTGGACAAATGAATGAGCCATACATTTACAGGATCAGGATTGGTCAGGGACGAATGTACACCCCCGCAATACACACGTAGAGTCCAGTTCAGGAGTCATACATAAAGATGGATATATAATTATAATATTGTATGATATGGCAATCATAGAGTGGATAGTACTGTCAATTTGGATTTGAGATGGACATCCGATGGTCCATCCTCAGTTCCTGAGAAAGGTGACTGCTTTCCTGTCGCATACAAGCGGGGCACGATGCCTCAAGCCATACTGGGAAGATCCTCAAAAACCTATCCTTGGATTAATTTCAACCATAGTTGCATCCCCTTCTTTTACCAGGTCTTCAGTGACCATGTTTTGCAACCCACCTGCCAAGCTCCCCCACGGCGCTACTGCCGGAGGAGGGCCAGGGATAGGCCTCACTTGCGGCTTCTGGACAGGGAGGTGCACCCTCTCAGACCATGGGCAACACGACATGTTTCACGGTAGACAAGGCAGTGTAGCAGACCAACCAAAACGACTTGGTCCTGCAATGAAACGTGGCACAGAGTGGATCCCGTAGGTGCTGTGGCGTTTCATCAGTAATGAACATGACCGAGTCCACCAGACTCGTCCGAAGACCTCCATGTTTTGGGACCCCAAAAACGCGTGTAAAGCTAATTAGGCGCCAAACGCTGGAGCAAAATGTCCACCATGTGGTGCAAACGCATCACCTGGGTCACAAGCGGATTGATTTGGGTTGAGAAAGGCATACATTAACGTGACTACTTTTGGAAGACCCTTACTATGTACCTAGATCTTCTAGTAAACATTGTTTAGGAGGGTCTTCCACGATCAGTTGGTCTTTTTGTGGTAGAGGTTCAAGAATGCATAACAAGAAGTTCCAAAGGAATTGATGCAAATTGTAACTAGAAGCTCCAGGGCCGTTGCGATGATCAACCCAATCAATGCTCAAATGGCGGGATGATCTTCCCAGAATGCCACATCACTCCACTGGGCGTCCCTGCGCGGGACACTTGCTGGTAACAGCTCATCCTCAAACAGGGCGTGTGCCACTCAGCATACTTAGACAGGGCCCCCCTGTCTAAAGGGGGGTGGACATTGCGAGGAGTCCGGCTTGCTGACTTGGGGGCTCAACAGGCTCAACCGGTGTCCTTTTTCTTACCCACAGCCATAGTCCTGTTGTTGGACGACAAAATCTCATGCAGGCCAGGAGAAGCAAGGCAGCTTTCGGGTGCTTCCGTTCCACAATCCTGCTCAGCAGGCAGCAAATGAAGCCGTGCACGAGCGTAGATGAAAGCAGCAAAGCAGCCAGCAAAACCGAGCTTTTAGCAATCTGACAACTCTGGAAATCGTATATCCTACAGAACCTGCTCAGCTGGAAAGTATATACCGGTGTATGTTACCTTAATTGGGGTGTGGGGAGCCATTTTATAGATATAGGGTATGATTGACCATCTGAGCCATCCTACACGAGGATGAATTTTATAAGCATTCAGCATTCATGTTCTTGGTGGTCTTTGCTGACTCGGAGATTGATCGGGATGGGGAGTAACCAGCCTATTCTTGCCACACACCTTCTCAAGTTGTCTTGCCAACTTCTCAAAGTACATTCCTGGGCCCTCACCATGCAAGGCTCGTAGTTCTTGGGGTCCTCCAAGTAGACCTCAAGGTGTCAGATTCTCAGCGATCCGGTGGCTAAGCCCTCGACTGCTTCCCTATTATAGCACCGGTTCATTCGGTTCATCCCTTTCGACATGTCTAGATCAGCCAGAAAGACCCACAAGCAAACTCGTGTTGAACTCTGCCCTTTTCTACCTTTAGGAACTCCTTCAAGCACTTGATGACCTTTTTTTTGCAGGTTGTTTTAACCACTCGACCGATTCCACGGCGGAAAACGGACGTGCATTTCGTGCAGCCCAAGGTGCTCGGACATCGAAGTGGGTGCAGAGTTCGGCGCCAACCTTTTGGGAGAAAAATGGCTGCTTCCAAGGCGTAAGTGGGGCCGTCATTGTTTCATATTGTTCCGCCCCTTCCATGAACTTTAGGCAAAATCTTGTGACTATAGAAACTATTGAAGGACTTCCTCTTCCCGTGTCTTGTTGGGAGTCCACTTGCTCCAATCGATGTCGATTAAATTGGGAAGCAGCTCATGCAATGGCCAAAGCAAGGTACCTGCTGTGGGATGTACATCGTCTGGGATTCTTGAATGGTATGTTCTTGCAGATTCTTTGACAAAGCTCCATGCCAAAATCTATGGCATGCATCTCTCTCTACAGCCACCAGCCACCAACAGTGGTTGAATAGAATTACAAATACTGGTGATGAGAAAACGGCTGAGAATAACCGCTTCAAACCTGATACTGTAGTCTGAGAGCTTCAATGTTAGCCAATCTCGAGAATACAGTCAAGGGCTTCCCGTGCTGTGTGTCAAACAAAGTCCGCCACCGGACCTGATAAGACAGTTCTTGTCCATCTCTGGCTGCAGTGACCTCCCAACTTCGCACGCGTTGCTCCACCGCAGGTTCAGTCAGAGTACGCCAACGGTGGAGCGCCAAGGGCGACTGCCGGGGGTGCACATTCAGGTGGGCAACCGTTCACCAGAAGAGGTACGTACAAGACATCCTTCTGCTTGGTTGAGCCTATCAAGCTTAAAAAGTGGAGGGGTCGACCCTGCGACAATTGTGGTTGATCCAAAGGACCACTGGATGCCGTCCGTGTGTGCTAAGACAAAACTGTGTTGGACAAGTAGGACCAGGACGCCGCTGTAGACCATGTTCAGTAGAAGGGATCTAGGAAATTCTACTTGGTTCCTCTAGAACAAAATGTATCCACCAGGTAGGAGTTTACAACATGTTTGGATGATTCGGTGGGCAACCTTGTTGCATCTCACCGCAAATGCAAGGAGATCGCAACTTCTGCAGGAACCTGGCATCCGATCATCTCTGATGAGTAGGCCTCAAGTAGCCATGCGCATGAGCAAAATCCAGTGTATTGCAGTGCAAACATTCAAGTGACCCCCCACACCCACGCACACACAGTCCCCTCCCAACAGGCTTCTTGAATCCTCTACAAAACAAGGGATATACTTTACCCATCAAAAAGAGAATCTCGTTGTCATCAGCAAATGTTCAGCACACTCAGACTCATCATGTCATCCTGATAGACACCACGAGCGCCTGTCGCCCCTCGTCCAAGGGATTGCGGAGGTAGCTCACCTCTCTGCGCATTGGAACACACAACTAGACTACATACATTAAGAGCGGGAGGCCAGGTAGGTGGTGCAAACGGAAAACGCAAAAAAGATGGTCTGCTTGGTAGATGCAGGACACATGAGCCACTCTAAAAACCTGGAGTCACTCCCTATGTCGTATCACTTTCCTTGCGCGAAGCCTTACGCGCTGCTTACGCGGCCCTCACTTTTGCTTACGCAAAGCAAACTTCGGAAATGCTTACGTGAAATGCTTACGCAATCATACGCAACCCAGGGTTTTGCTTACGCGGAATTCGATATGACAAGGTCCTTACTTAAGATGTAAAGGCAGGTTTTTAGAGCGGCTCACATGTTATATATAATTGTGTGCAAACGTAGCCTCCACATAGCTAAGCAGGATGATGGGATGATGATGATACTTGCAGAAAAGTCCTGACCTCCGGCATGACCACGTCCTGCAATCGTAGCCATTCAACCTGAGAGAGAAACACTTCACTACTCTCATCACACATTTTCTTGATAGTCAGTTGACATGACGAGGTGTTCTCTCTCTCTCTCTCTGCCCTTCAGAACCGTCAGAAAGGAATACATTCAACCTTACAATTAGGTAAAGGCAAACCATGAAACATGAATTCGCAACAGCACCAACAACAAGAAGGAGTCACTCACAGTGTTGGCGAAGGACTTGAATTAACATGGCACTGCTTGAAGATATCTGAACATCTGAACATATCTGAACCTGTGTCTCCCACGGTACATCCAGGATGTGTTCACTTTTTACTCCGCTCTAAGGCCTCGGGCATCGAACAAGCGTCCAAAGCCACCGAAGGGGTCTGACTTGCACTTGGACTGACCCGGCAGACTCCGCCTCAGTAGACCGTTGATGGAACGACACGAGGAAGAAGATGGTTCATGGAAAACCATCCGGAAAACCATCTGAGTTGAGATGGTGATGAATATATATATAACTTAATGTTTCCACCACCACAATCGGCAGGTTCTTGTTGTTGTTTGTCGTTTTCTTGAATTAAGTATCTTTAAACTGGTGGTGAGAGGTGTCCAGCTAAGATTCCAACATTCGAGCGTAGCCTTGAAAGGCACCGCTCTTGCTGACAGAGAAAATCAAGATCACCACCTCAGGTAGCAGAATGCACATCGCTGGATTAGGTATATAGTTAGGGTGTCTCAGTATCCTTCTGGACACAAACCTCACCAGCAACAAGGGAATCAAAACGAATCAAATCATTTCCCGTGCGGCACAAGATAGCAAATAAGATCTGGATGGTTCGATCAAGACTGGATTGGGTCTGCATCACCTTGTGGGCCATGTCTTAAGCCAAAAGGCGCCCTCCTAACACCAGCGATCTTGATGTGTGCAAAGCTGCGACCTTTTGGCAAAACAAGTAACAAGATCCGCACTTCAGACGTGTCTGTCGGGTCTTGCTAGATTCGACTGTGGAGGCCTGCGCCGATTATCTGCCTGAGGTTTCTTCAACTCATGGGACCTGGAACTGGGATTCGCAGTGCACGAAGTACTTTGATGTTCTTGATTGTACCTAAGGACCAGTCAAAGACCCATCACTAGACATCTCCTTTGGGGTCACCGCTCTATAGTATAGTCTATCGCAGTCTTGGTTGCAGTCATGATATGATTAGATTCTGTTAGATTGATATTCTCAACGACATGCGACATCCGGGCGCTTGGAAAATAGGCCTCCTCAGCAGGAAATCGAATTCCCCTTCCGGTACTCAGCCAGAACATTCTCAGCCTTTAGGAGGATGCCCGTCTTGTTGGCCTCGTGATAGGCCTCCATGAATGCACCGAGCTCCTTCACCAAAGCATCACGGTTCACGGCTTCGGATGTGATGACCCTTGGCACAAACTCTGCAAGGTCAACTAGAACTGGCACAGTCGTGTTGTAGTAGCCAAGGATGGTGAATGCGAGCCAAGCATGCTCCCGAGCAAATTCAAAAAAAGATTGCCTCAATGTGGAATTCAGCTGTTGGAGTTTTTTCTGCTCGGCTGTAAAATTGAGGCTGCTCTCTTCAAACAGAGCCTTTGCGTCACACTCTTTCTTCAAAATGTCGACGAGTGCTTTCTGGGTGTTCTCCATTTTGGAGGCCTGGTCTAGTTGATGCACCAAAGAGTTCATGTCTGATTCTGCATTGCTGATTTTGGCTTCATTGTAGTCAGCGTTGGGGATCGAATGAACCACCCAAACACTTGGGTATGGTTTATTGGCATCAAAATTGAATGTGAAAAGATAGGCAACCGTTCTGCCATCTACGGATGCCTTTCGCCCTTGTAACGTGTATTTGTCTCCACTTACCCTGGCTGTAGTTTGCCCAAAAGACTCCCCATCTAAGAGCGAGGTCTCAAAACGCTTCCTCTGGTCCTCATCAGCGGGAATAAGCCTGTACTCCTTTGGCAAGTACACGTATTTGTATACTCCACCGCTGTAATTAGCCACTGTCTGGTTTCTCTCTCCTGAGCATTGTGAATAATCCCAAGGTCGCACATCCTGAAGCGCAGCCTCCAAGGTGTCGTTGCCGCAGTCACGGTCGAACAATAGCACGCGGTCAATGGAATTGTAGTCCGTTTTGAAGACATCAATGTCTTCATGCCCCTTCTTGAGCTGATCAATCTCAGCCTCTCGCATCGTAATGTTTTTCTTGAGTTCTGCTGTTCGATCCGAAGCATGCTGCAGGTGTGCGCGTTGTTTCTGGAGCCGGTCCTTACATTCCGCGACGGAGCGATTTGCAATCGCAGCCTCAGCTTCATCAATCAAATGATTGTTCGGCGTGTGCCCATTGCGGCTGAGCTCTTCTTTGGACTGCTGCCCGAGTTGCTCCATCAGTGCTTGGTGGTGCTGATGTCTCGTCTCATCTGATGACTCGACTTCTTGGATCTCCGACTGGACATCGCAAATCTCCTCCTTGATTTCATTCATTAGTCGAGGGTTTTCCTGCAAAAACTGTTTAAAGAACATGGACCACGTGTGCGCAGCTGTGGAAAACATCAATTCCACCGTCCTTTGAGACTTGGTATCATGGAAGGATGACCCAAAGTCTGGCTTTGAGCATGGACCATGTGACTGTGACAAAGCATCCAAAGCATCCAGCAGGTCTGCTCGTTGCCCAAGATCTTCTAGGTCAAGAACATGTATTCGCTTTTGGGAGGCACTATGCTTCACTGCACGCCACAAAATGCAATGTTCATCCAAAGGCCTAGACTCAGACCCGGCAGTTCTCAAGTTTTTCCCGCAATGACGGGATGCCTCGGTGGCAAAGGCGCCATCCTCCATCTCTGCACGCTGCCCCACATCCCCCTCATACTTGGTGATGATAATGTACAAAACGATTCCAGGTCGACCATCGAAAATCTGCTTCAGCATGCCGCGCAGTTTTCCTAGCAATTCCAACAAGCCTCGACCACGTGTTTCGCTGATGAGCGAATATGGCACCAGCAAGAGTATTGCTGAAATGCATGCCACTGAGTCAAAAGCACGGTCCAAGCTCAAGCTCGTCACCATGCTGAACTCATCACCACGCGTGTCCTCAAAGCCAGGCGCATCGACCAGTACTACGTCACTTCCCAACTCGCTCACGTCATAGCCTTCCGCGCACAATGTCTGAGACTCGAACCAGGAAGTGCTTATCACTGGACCTGATTTGTTCTCGTGAATCCAAACGGGGCCAAAGGCACCGGTGGCCTCCTCAAGCGGGATGCCCCTTGGCTGGCTGGCAATTCTTTTGTGATAGAACTCAGAAGTGACTGAGGGCATCGAAACCGTGTTTCCTACGCCACTGAATGGAGAGTTCGTACCCCGTGCCGAAGCCAAGTCCGGCCATAACCCCAAAAGGAAACGGTAGAAGACACCTGGAATTAATTTCCCCTGTTGGAACGATTTGTCTGCTCTGGCTCTGGCGTCCGATATATCGAACTGCCCTTGATGGGTTGGGCGTTACTTGTCTGGCATTGTGTGTGACAACTTACAAGAATCAGCTGCCTGCAGGTTGGGGGTGCGTTTGTTACCTACCTTGAAAACATACATGGCACAATAAGGCAACAAACAATCATACCACATGGTGAGCCGGTCTTCCAAAGTGTCTAAACTGACAGTTCAAGCAAGATTCATCATGTAGCTCGCCATGGTGCTCTTCCCACTTCCAGTATTTCCCAGCAAAAAGATCGCTTTCTTCTGGAGCATTTTTTCACGCCGATGCTCCGATTCCCGCATCATGCGGAGCACCTCGGGTACCGTCATCAAATCAATGGTCATGTTCGTCTTGCTCGTAGAATTCATCTGGATCTCATAAACAGCGCCTCGCACAGCCTCCTCAACCAGTGAAGGCCAGGTCTGTGGCACCTGCAGTCTTGTTGCCATACTTACAAGGTGTTGTTTGATATCTGGCAGTTTCTCCCCAACGATTTCTGCAGTCTCAAAGACGTTGCGGTACTTAATCAGCGGTTCTACAAGCTCTTGAAGAAAGGATGTGTTCTGATGTAGTTTCCGGCGGAGCAAATGTCGTTCATGTACAAAATCCTTCCGAATCTGCTCCATCTTGTCACCCTTCCTAGGCGTTGTGATGCTCACTACCTTGTCAAACTTCTCTCTGCTTACTCCTTGTAATGGCTCTGAATCTGACGCACGCATGCGAAATTCTGTGTCCAGAGTTTCAGGTGGCCCCTGCCATAGGAGTTCCCCAGAGTATGCTTTGGTGATTGTGGCAAGGTTGGAGGCCTGCAGCACCTGCAGTGGTCTTTCAAATCCAAACAAACAAAACCCAATACTGCACCTTTGTCATTGTCTGTTATAAATTTGTAATTGTACTACAACTTATTACAGTACACCACCGTAAAAACCAAACAGGTGGGACAACAAAGAAGCATTCCCAAGTCCATATATTTGAGACGTGGGAGGTAAGAGGAAGACAAAGGCCGACAATGACCAACAAAAAGAGAAACAAAAAGAAACAAAAGGGAGACAACACAGACACAATGACCGACAAGAAGGGAAACCAGAATCCAAACAAAAGGAAACAGAAGGGAGACAACACGGACACAATGACCAACAAGAAGGGAGACAAAAGAAAACAGAAGGGAGACAAGACGAACACAATGACCAACAAGAAGGGAGACAAGAAGGGAGACAAAAGGAAACAGAAGGGAGACAAGACGGACACATTCATTGAGCAACAAGAAGGGAGACAAGAAGGGAGACAAAAGGAAACAAAAGGAGACAAGACGGACACATTCATTGAGAAACAAGAAGGGAGACCAGAAAGGAGACAAAAGGAAACAGAAGGAAGACAAGACGGACACAATGACCAACAAGAAGGGACAAACACAATGACCAACAAGAAGGGAGACAAAAGAGGAAGCAGAAGGGAGACAAGACGGACACAATGACCAACAAGAAGCGAGACAAAAGGAAACAGAAAGGAGAGAAGAGGGACACAATGACCAACAAGAATGGAGACAAGCAGGGAGACAAAAGGGAACAGAAGGGAGACAAGAAGGACACAATGACCAACAAGAAGGGAGACAAGAAGGACACAATGACCAACAAGAAGGGAGACAAGAAGGGAGACAAAAGGAAACAGAAGGGAGACAAGACGGAC